TGATGGCTCATTGCCTTGTAACTAACTTACATTTTGAGCTACTGGTTTTGCAACCGATCTATCACTTGCTACATTGGTATCATGGTGCTCCGACTTGAAATGCCGGGGAAGTGATATTGATTGAAAGTAGAATCAGGCAGGGCATCATAGTGAGAGGCTGAGTTTTCGTTGTGGCGACCTGTGTGACGAATCAAGCCTGATTTTGAAAGGCATTCGCTCCTACCTTCTGTCAAGATGGAGATGAATTTAGTATCTTTTCTTTACTTTCTCCAAGTAACGAACAGCCCTGTATTCAACCCTGCCTTTCATTAATAGTTAATACCAGCTGTCATCAACGCCTTCCAAGACGAAAGATCTTCCCAAATGCTGATATATCTACGGTAACCACTATGAAGCGAACTTCTCACAATTTGAGAGTTTGCACATGGTTAGGTAATCGGTGACCTACCTACCTACATACATATATTTTTTTCTACTAAACCTATCCTTACCTCTATGCGAAAAGACGTTCTCTTATTTTACTATAATATTTCCCTTATTTATTGCAGTTGGCACTACATAGGTAGAACGACTTAAGGGCTGGGGGTTCCTACAAAAATCCGAAGCACTAATTATTTACACTTAGATGTCCTGACTAACGTATACGTGTCTTCTACGGGGCAGTACCTTATAAATAACCGCATCTGTGCAGCTAATTTTAGTGTAAACTCTTTTTCCATCTTGAATAAGTACCACTCCAATTACCACTTGAAAATGTTGGAGACCATATACATTCAGTCTATGAAACCTTGTAAGCAGGAGGATGTTGCACTTGACCTCCAAGTCGTATCCATTTAAATCTTCTTTTTTTGCTTTTCTCATTCCATTTTATTGATAATTCATACCTCTATATTAATCTCGATTTAGCTCTGTTGACCGAAGTCAAAACCGGCTAGCTGGCCATATCTTTTATTTTTTTCATTTTAATTGTCCATTATGTCTGATAATATTTAAAACGTTGTCTTTTTATGGCTGTTATAATTTTTGTACCACCAATAAAATTTTCCAATATATATACATATATATATATATATATATGCTAGCTATATATATATATATATATATATATATATATATATATATATATATATATATATATATATAGCTAGCATATCTTCATTCAAGCATGTTTGGTTGAATAAACAGTACATTTTATATTTATTTTATTGTGATCCTCTCGAATTCTCAGATCGACTTCTTAATGTTGCTATTTAATTCATCATGGAAGGCGCCGTACATTTTATTTTATTTTCATTTTTATTTTCCCAAGTATGTTCAATCCCATCTGAGAGCATCTTCAGGAGTGAATTTTGCATTTGGGTAGCAGTCCTTCTTTTATACATGTTCCATTAAAGGTGACTGACATGGTATTACGATTAAGTTTTTTATTTATTATTTTTTTTTATTACTTTCTGGGTATTGTGTAAAAATAGTTCAAAGATTCTGCATATCCGCGCGCTCACGGCTATTATTTTAATCAAGGATTTTTTTTTTACTTTATTTTAACTGAATGTATGCATTTTGTATGTAACTATAGGACGTGTTAATTTTGATGTGATTGAGTGTTGATGTTTTCTTATTTTTATTACTAGTGCTTTCATTATTTTTAGTTTTTTTTTTACATCTGGATGAGACTATTATACTTGTATTTTCTACTAGCGTGTTGCGGATGGTAGGTTTCCGTGAGTATTTAAATGAATCTTAATTGAGCCATGCTCAGAAAAGTGTAACGTGAAACTTTTTTTGTAATCTCAAGGGTTATGTGTGTTCATAAATAATATCGGTTTCCCTATAATTTAGATTTTGCATGCGTGTTGTTATTGTTTATCATAAGGTTCGCTTTTATAAATTATCTACAGCAGATAATTTCATTTTCTTGCTCTTGACGACAGGAGTTATGCATTACTTTATAATGTTTCTAAGAGAAAATTCATGTTACTTATAGTTAACGTGTATTTGACTTTTATAGAAAATGTTAATATTATTGTTTTTATCTTTATGTTCAGCATTTCTATTAGTTACTTTAGAAAGAAATAATCTAATCTGGTGTTTGATGAGGTAGATCAGAAAACTGTTTGTTGTCTAGAATTCCTTAAGGGGACAATTATTGCGTTCTTTAAGTGGACCAGAGCATGAATTCTCGTACGCTCTCTTGAGGAAATTTTTTATATATTCTATTTTGTATCAAGGACTTTATTTAACGGGCAACATAAGAAAAGAACAATCAACAAATCTTGCAAGTGAAGAACTTTAAGGACACACGGTATCATTTCACAGGAGAATGGTAACAAAGTACATATAATTTTGTTCCAAACATTAAAATTCTGGCTTCATTTGTTTCAGATTTTCGTCTTCCAGAAGAAGCTTTTGTAATCCAATCAATGAAGAATCTATAAAATTTGCGGGAAAACAAGAAGGGAACACACCTGACTGCTATTTGCAGAGGTCTAATTATTTACACTGAAAAACAGATAGATAGATAGATAGATAGATAGATAGATAGATAGATAGATATCAGAATAGCCGTTTCCTTGTAAGAAAAAATCGACGTCTATTAACCGAGCAACTAATGCAACTTCCGGTTGAAATTTGTAATATAGATTGAGACAGAGAGAGAGAGAGAGAGAGTGAGAGAGAAGCAAATACGATCAAGTATATATACTTAAACCAATAGATAGATAGATAGATAGATAGATAGATAGATAGATAGATAGGTATGAGAGTAATATTAATGCAAAAATGAGCCGTTTCCTTATAAGAAAAAATTCGACATTCATTGACAGAGCTACTTTAGATTGAAATTAATATTGTTAAATTAATATAATATTAAATATTGATATATATATATATATATATATATATATATATATATATAGAGAGAGAGAGAGAGAGAGAGAGAAGAGAGGAGAAATACGAGCATATATATATATATATATATATATATATATATATATATATATATATATATATATAAAAGATAGATAGCTTGCTAGATAGAGACGAAGGTCGGCTGTAAATATCAAAGGCTGACCAACATAGCCTCATGCAATCTGAACAAATGATGTTTATTTTCAAACATTATGCTACAAGGCGTCCATACACTTGGATCCCATTGGTGTAGAAACTTGTTCATCCTGTTGGTTAAAAAGTCATCACCATCAGATATGACGTCCTTATCTCTGGTTCCCAGACAAGTTTTTTTTTCATGTTGGAACAGATGATATTCAAATGCGGCCAAATCAAGAGAAAAGGATTGTGATCGCCCAGTTGAAAGCCACAATCACGCACAGCAGCCATTAGTTGTATCGCTCATAAAGGAAGATTTCTCTTCCACCCTTCCTGCTTCAGTGTAAGAATTTAGTAAAAAGATGGGCCATAAAAGCAGTTAAATAATGCTAAAAACAAAACTATTACCTCAGAACTCTCAAAAGGTAAATCTACCCTAGAAATTTCTAAAATGATAGGGAGATGTCTTCAAACAGCGAAAAAGTTCACCGCCGACTCTACAAAAGTACGCAAAAGGGCAGATAAAGGCAAGCCAAGGGTTATTTCACGTCGTCTCGTGTCACGACTTAAACGAGAGGCCACGAAGAACCCTGGACTTACCAGTCAAGAGCTTTTCAGTCGCATTGGGGATCCTACTGTGTCTAAAAGTACTCGTTGTCGGTATCTGAGGGAAATATCAACAACAGTCAAACCTGTATCGAAGCCTCTGTTGACGAGAAATCACATTCAAAATCGATTGAAATGGGCCGAGGACAATATGAAGATTGACTTCTCTAAAATTTGATGGGCCAGATAGATGGTTCAAAGGCTGCGTAATGAACGGACAGAATCGCCATCAGCGTTTGAGACGCCAACAAGGCGGTGGAGGCATAATGATCTGGGGTGGTATTATTGGAAAAACATTAGTGGGCCCATGGAGAGTATAGATGGCGTCAAAATGACTGCTGATGCATACATAGCGTTTATGAAGGAGCATCTTGAACCGTGGATGAAAAGGCAAAGAGTTGCCTTCAGAAGGGCCATTGTTTTTATGCAAGATAATGCTCCCTCACATGCTGCTCACAAGACTACTGAATATTTGAAACAGTTAGGCTTCAATGGACCTCGAAAAATGAAGTGTCCAACAAATTCTCCGGATTTGAACCCAATCGAAAACATTTGGAGTATCATGAAGCGAAGACTGTACGCCAACGGACGACAATTCAGGAGCGACGCTGAGTTGTGGGAAGCAATTCTTGACATATCTCGCGGCATTACAGCAGATGACATCCTACAATTAACAAATTCTATGGACCGTCGACTTCTTCAAGTAATTTCAAAACAGGGAAAGCACATTCCCTATTAATTTGTTTAAAACTGTGCCTTTGTTTGTATCTGTTATTATTTGTTTGATTATCTTATTTATTGGCTTCTTTTGATCATAAACATTCACGTGCAACATTAATAAACGTTTTGTGTGCTCAATTCTAGGATTTTTACTAAACCTTTCTAATAATTTGGCACGCTCAAATCCCCGTACTGATAACAAATATGGCGCCAGTTTGTTTACATTGCGCAAATCAGGTCGAAAATGTCAGTGATTGCGCAGGTCAGTGATGCCAACATTGTGTGAAAATTTTGTTTGAATTGATTGGACGGTTTTTGAAATATCATAAAAAAAGTTATCTCGATAATAATTTGACTATTATTTTGGATAATAACGTACTGCAGCTCGAATGTTTGGTTCTAAAGATTAGTGGCAGCTTTTCAAAAGTGTGCTGAAAAACAGCAAATCCACACACACCCCTCTATTCAATCGATTCCTAACTTCCTCATCTGATAAGGCTTTGCTCGGAAATTATCATCCAACTCAACACTTGACTTATCCGGAGTACCCACACCTGATTTTACCCCTAGAACTGAGGCCCTATTGAGTGAGAGGGAAATAACCCTGTCGGTGGTTATCATCTCTAAATTAGACTCTCATAAGTGGTGGTGACGGGATATCAGTCGTAGCCCTAAAGAAATGTGCTCCTGTGCTGCAGTTCTCTCCAAAATATATAACTATTGCCTCGGTGACACTTGCTTTCCAGCCTATTGGAAGTCCTTATCTTTAATCTTAATTTTAATCAATGGCGAAGTGGTTAAGCACCTTACTTCCCATGATCTACTCTCTGACAAACAATATGGTTTCCGCTTTGCCCGGTTTACCGCTGGCGTGCTTACGGTCATGACTAAATTTCTATACCAAGCTTTTGATAATAACAGCGTAGCTTCATTGATACGTTATTACAGGACGATTATTTGATTTAATCCAATCATTCCTGCGAAACCGTTAACTGAAGGTCGTTCTAAACGGGTTCTCCTCCAGTTCCTTTCATACGAACGCTGGTGTTCCCCCAAGGCTTTATCCTGGGTTCTACACTGTTTCTGATCTTCATCAACGATCTGCCTGATGTCACCTTCTCTCAAGTAGACATCTACGGAGATGACACTACTATTTGACACCTGTCTCAATAGTAAATTCGGAATTGCTGACAAAGTTAACTTGACAGTTGTTCTAGAAAATAACCCCCGATCTGTGGTTGATTGAAGCAGGAAATAGCTTGTAAACTTTAATGCCTCCAAAAAAAAATGCTCTCATTTACCCACCATAAAGAAACCTCCCCGCCTTCGATCCGTATGGCTGATGCTCAACTCCATGAGAGCGACTCTCTGCGACTTCTTGGTCTCACGTTTTCCACTGACCCAAGATGGAACAACTATATTGAATCAATAGCTTTGTCTACCGTAAGGAAAGTTTGTTCTCTGTGTTACACCAGAAGGTTTTTCTCGTTTGAATCCATCTTTCAAATCTAAAAATCTATCCTTCGTTCTTGCATTGAAAACTGTTGCCATATATGGCCTGGTACCCCCGCTGTTGATTTCGAGGTTCTCGACAAAATCCAAAGACAGATATGGATGTGATAGGTCCTGACATGACATCTCTTTACAGTCACTTTCTCACAGACGTGACGCGGATTCCCTCTGTCTTTTCTCCAAATATTTTCATGGCAACTGCTCTGACGAGCTACTTTCACTGGTTCCTCAACTACGGGAATTTAAGCGCGCTACTAAGTTGACATCACGGTCCCACCCTTTTACTGTCAAAACAGTTAAATGTAACCGCCTTTTTCTACTCCAACGGTTTCTTCTCTTGCACTTCCCGACAGTGTAACTCCCTTTCGTTTTCCTTCCTTCCCTGATAACTATACTCTTCAAATATTCAAATGTAATTTCAATCGACATTTTCTGGTGTTTTGATCTTGATTTCGGTTCTTCTCTTTATTCTTTCCTCAAACACCCCTCTTTACTCTTACTCTCACTCTCTTGCGTGCTAGTTGCACTCCCGCCTTGCTTGGGGTGAAATGCCTAAAAAATATAATAAGCGATAAAAGTTGGAGAGAGATAGGACGATAAGAATATAAGGTAACCCCCCCCCAAAAAAAGCCCCCCAAAAAACAGAGATATAGGAAGAATGAAAAATAGAGAAAGACAGAAAAGGTAATCAAATGATTGGGGAGATAGGAAGAGTGACTAACAATAGGCCGAGAGAGGAAGGGCGACAAACGATAGAAAGAGATAGGAAGAGTGAAAAAGCACTGAGAAATAGGGACATAAAGATAACGGGATCTGAAAAGTCACAAAATATCGAAAGAGAAAGAGTGAAAATTTACAGAGAGGTAGGGAGATAAAGATAAAGAGAGAGAAAAAAAAAATCACAAAAGATGAAAAGAGATGGGAAACTGACAAATCACAGAAAAAGTATGAAGAATTTAAAAAAAAACCCAGAAAGATAGGACGTTTGGCAACAATTGAAAGAGTGACAAAATAAATCAATGCGTCTGTTTTCAAACAAGAACCTTCATTCAATCTTAAACTTCAAGAAAGTTTTCTTATGCGAATTAAAATTCAATGACCGTGCCATTAACTGAATATTAAATTTCATTCTTTCACAAGTCTCATTTATCAAAGCAGCTATTTCTTTTGCCTGAAATTCGAAAATACAGGGTTCGTGAGCAGCTTAAAACACTTGTAGCTTTGTAACTATAGATCATAGAAAAGTCTGTAGAAAGTATGAAAAGGAATAAATATTTAAATTTATTACTGGAATTATTAATTTTCAACCTGGCCACCATCACTGCGTATACAAAGGGTAACACGATTCTGTAGTTGTAAGAAAACAGTTTGTAGCTGATTTTCAGTCATACCCTCAATCACGTGAATTATGCTAGCTTTCAATTCATCTAAAGATGTTTGGTTGAATAAATATTACTTTTACCAGGTCCCTATAATAAAATCTAATGGAGTGACATATTCCAGTAAAGCCTTGGGTCAACAGCAATTCTGAAAAAAATATTTTGAAGTTTCATGAAATTAAAAAAGGATAATAGGTAAAACAAATAAATAAAATTTCCGAAGTAACGAAAGAAAAAAACTAGACATATCAAGCTTTATTATCCTTTTTACAGAGAGTTTATATAATGTATAGTTACAAAGCTACAAGTATTTTAAATTGTACACGGACTTTATGTACATAATATTTTATTGAAATTACAAAGTAGATTATATCTCCTAGATATTCTCGTCTGGAATTGCTATATAGGATTTATATCAGGAGGTTAACTTGAGTATGAGTGTTGCTTAATTGATTTTTTGATGTGCTATTTTCAGTTCTTTATTTGTTGTAAGGCATAAATTTCCGTCCCCAGTGATAAATGTGTCAGTGGATATTAGAAGAATTCTCTACTACAAAATGGATATGAAGTCGTCTGAATTGATATCTACAGGAGCTTCGAACCATTAGTATTCCAAATTGCTCACTGCGCCGTAATCGAAAATTCATGCGAGATGAGGTTCAAGAAAAAGAAAAATCGTGAGTAGGTAATCTCCTGTCCTATGCACTTTGAAATGTGAGATGAATACGTATATTAGTCCAAATATTGCACTGGATAACGAATTCCAAATCATTATCATTTTCCGGTTTCTCTGCTTGAAATTGATTGACTTGACACGTGTTTATTGCTTTGTCATAAGAATCCATCTGCTCGATTCGTACTGTTGCTGCACTGGTGTTGGCATATTCTGTCAAATCTGCCCGATATTCGTGTAGAATAACACTTATCAAAACGGATATTAAACTTGGCATGCCAAGCTCAAATTCTGACTGCCTGTTTTGTTCACTTCGTCTCAATGCTCTTGTAAAAGCATGCATATATCTTCCACCAGTCATCTCTTTTTTCGTCTATGTTCCGTGTCCGTTTTGGACGTTGACGATCATGGCTCTCCACAATTTCTGGTCCTTTGTAGCTCTTAGTAAATTTTGTCTTTTTTGTAGCTCTCTTAAAACCAGTTCTACAACCATTTGCTCGTTCGGTATGTTATGCACTTGTCTTTTATACGCCCTGCGAGTGTCATATTTTCTAAGCCTTCTTTCCTTATTATGCACCCTAGAAAAAAATCAACTGTCTCTATCTGTTCTTAAATATGTCCCCTTTTTTTTTCTAAAGCTTTGTCTGTTGTCCACATGCTTAGTCCATGGTATTCACAGCATGCTTCTGTAGAACCACATTTCTGTTGCTTCAAGTCTATTCTTCATCTCTGAGGAGATTGTCCAGCCATATAGAAGGACTGTCATTGTGTTCACTACTCTTTTCTTTGTTTCCGACGGAATTTTTCTGTTTCTTTATACTTAACTTAACCTTCGGAAAGCATCTTTGGCTATCCTAATGCGCCTTCAGATTTCTGCTGTCTACAGCTAAAAAGTTGTCGGTTTTGTACTTGAGGCAATAGTTAAACTTTAGTTGGGCTTATACTAATATTTGCAGCATAACATCCGTCTGTTTTATACTTGAGACTATAACTAAACAATCGCCGGGTTTATAAATGATTCTATAAGTGAAATTGTCCCGGTTTATACTTCAGTCTGTATGCATCCACCCGGAATGTGACGTTTATTTTTAATTGAGGGGGGATCTTACCTCTATTCAGGAAAATCGGGGGTGTATACTAGAACCTACTCTCGCCGCATATCAGAAACTATATCCTTTTCATTTCTATCTTTGTTAAATATCAAATCTGAATAATAAATAGAATGTGATTAATTATATCATGTCTGTCTAAGACGAAAAGGAGACGAAAACGCTTTATTAATTTTAGTAGCTAGACAGAAAAATAAATAAAAACGGTGAAATTAAGTTTGACAGCCTAAATAGGTAGATGCAGACCGACATTTAAGAAATGCTATACTAAAAGAGAAATACATATAAAGTTTATTTCATTATACCGAGATACATGTGTGTGCCAGATATATTGCTGGATACATAGACGGCCAAATTGAGAAACATCCGAAGTTCGATCGATATTAATCAAGTAATGAGTTACTAGACGTACGAGGACATATCCTAATGCCAGGGACTTGAATGCCGACTAACAACCCAATAATTTGAAAGAGTTTGGAAATGAACGAAGATTGTCTGTAAACATCTTAATGTCGACAGAGTGCTAAAACTTTTATGGCTCCTTATTTACAAAGCATAGAAAAAAAAAGGTGAGGGGGGGGAAGAAGTTTAAAGAATCACCTACATAGAATGGACGAATGGAATAAATATAATGGTATAATAAATAGTATAAAGGCGACTAAAAGAAAGCTATTTGTAAGTTATGAAAAGCAGAGAGAATAAGAAATTTACAGTAACCGGCAATGAAAATATTATGTGAAAAATAAAACTCATCATTAGAACAAGAAAAGGACGTAGAACGACAGGAAAAGGATGCAATTTCCTTCAAAATTATTTCACCCTTTTGTAACCTAGAAAGGGTTATTGAACGAGGAATAACCAACACGGAGGTTGGAAATGAAATGTTAATCTTTATAACATCAACAAAATACAATACTCGCCAGCGGCGTGAAGTAGGTAAACCACTGCTATTGGTGGACTACTTAGACAGCATATTACCACCACTTACAATAGTGTCCAACGTATTTACGAGGATTGGGACATACCTATTAGTTTTCATAGGTACGCTATATAACGCACCCAAAGGAAGACAATAAAGGCACTAAGCTGCAAGGGGTTTAATGAGTATTAGAATATGTGATAAAAATATTATTAAGGAGAGAGAATAATAAAAGAACAAGAATTAAGAAGACAAAAGATAACGACTGACATTGCATTTAAATTTTTGAAGGTTAAACTTGACTTGGAAGCAAGAAACCGGAATAGAATCCCACAAGCGAGAAGTGCGATAGCAGAAACTGTTATAACAGGATTTACGCTTACATCTAGTCATTTCAGCTGTAAAATAATTAGACCTTGACGCTAATCTAGTACTGCACTTAAATATATAAAGTCTAGATTCCACAGAGGCAAGTTCATCAGAACAATTACCATGAAAGTATTTATAGAGAATCCATGGTGGGAAAGTGACTGAAACCGAGTTGCTAGGTCAGGATCAATAAAATTTCAGATTCTTCTTTGGATTTCATCAAGAATCGATAAATACATATCAGGAGCACCAGGCCAGATGTGACATCAATTTTCAAAACAAAGACGAATGAAAGACTTTTAAACATGTAAAACAGATTTTGGTGGGGAAATTATTCAAGCACCACACAGTGTACCAAGTTTCCTAGTCGTAGATTTAGCAATTAATTCAATATAATCTTTCCAGTTCATACCAGCGGGAAACCATGACCCAATAAGGCGCAATAAGTCACTCTCCTGGAGGTTAGCATTAGCCATGCTGATGTAAGTTAAAAAGGATTCTCTCAGACGATTAAGAGAGAGCAGTTTCGCTTTGGAGATGTTAAAATTAACAAGTCATTTTTTGTCTCAGTTAACAACAAGTTAGTTTTTATATGAGCTGCCATTTTGACATTATCGAACCGATTAGACTTAGATAGGAGTAAATATTTGTGTCATCAACATAGATACATGAGTTGAGAACTTATGACATCAGTCAGGTTGTTTATAAAAGGTTAGGAACAATGTAGAGCCCAGGGAAGCATCTGCATTAATGCAAAAAGATCTAGAAGAGTGGCCATTATAGATATCATTAATTTCGCGATTTGTTAAAAAAGAATGGATTAAAAAGTAGAAGACTGACGAAAATACATTAGAGGACTGTGAAGAAGCAAGTGGAAGACAAGAGGGAAAGCCGTTGGACAGCATGAAATATAGCAGGAAATTTGGATGACTGCCTGAAGATGAGAATATTCATAAACAGAAGATGGCAGGAAAAAGGTGACAAGAAAACGGAAGCATATTTGGTTTTCTTTTTTTTGTTTTTTTTTTCACTTCAAACAAGGCGATAAGGCCACTAAGATGCAGGAGTTTACAGGAGGTGAAAAATAATAAGATTTAGTGAAAAGTTATGAAAAGGAAAATAAAGAAAGACAGATGATGGCGATTGACGTTTCATTTAAATCTTTGAAGATTATAGGTGGCGGGTAAGCAATAAATCGGAAGGGATTTCCACAGGCGAGAAGTGCGAGAAAAGAAACTGGTAGAATAGAATTGACATCCAGCTAGTTCAACCATAAATTGGTGAGACCTAGTTATCAATCTGGGAGCACGCTTAAATTCATGCAATCGTGCAACTAAGAAAAAAAACGTCATCTGAATAATTTCCATTAAAATATTTCTACAAAAGACAGAGGTCTATGTTAAAAAAGATGAAGGTCAATGTCATATAACATAATTATGACATCTTATATCACTAAATATGTGAGTCGAAATGGTGTTTGGCGATTGTTTCATAGTGAGCCGAATTGGATGTATTGCTACGTCAGTCTCCATGGCTGTCTTCAAAGCAATACGACAAAATCGCACTGTCTCTGTAAATTAGTGAAAATCAAATCAACCGTCTTTCCACCAGTAAGAAGGGTTCTTTTTGTAGCATAAAATGGCACAGGACATATGAGTGACATATAAATCCCTGCAATTGCAGATCCACAATTCCATCGCGAAAATCTTCACTGAAGAAACGGTTTATTGGCCAGGATATCTCACCGTCCCGCTAATTGCTGATTCGTCAATTCACGGGTCAATGAAATTTCACTGTTAGACCCTTTTTCCTTTTCTTTTCGTTTGCGGCATCAGCTAATCTAATACATATATCGTATTTCAGAATTATATATTTTCAACAATATGCGTGACTGCTTTTTTTTCCCCTTGGAGATTTTTTTCTTTTCCTAATTCTTAATCTTATCTGAGTCTCCGATGTTTTGCACACACAATATTAGATTATTAAAAAATAAAAAAAATAGATGTCAATTTGTGACAAATGAAACAAGAACGTTGATGGAAATAATTAAGTTTACAGTAGATAGCCGCAGAGAAGAAATACTTGACGGGGAGTTAATAAAAGCCTGTGACAAGTTATGACAAAGTTTAGCTTAAAGTAGGCTATCCATAAAGGTATATATGGGCCTTGGGTGGCAGCAGAGGGAATATTCCTATTCAGGGTCGTTTCAGAAGCTTTACTTGCGGTAATGTGATCACTCCTATTTTGGTCTAATAATTGACACGAGAAAGGAACTGGTTGACTTCGTCTGAAATGATATTCTTCAACGACTTCGACAGTCAGTCAGTTATGTGCCCTGCGTGATACATGATTAAGCGATCATGTATCTTTCAATACATGACTGACGAGGAAGTTTTTTTTTTCTTGCAGTAGGTAGCCATTTCTTTTTGCGATAGACCAGTCGCTATCCAAGGTTATAGAATCCGGTCTGTCTTGCTATTTAGCGACTGCAAGAAGAAAATTCATAACTTTCCCAAGACTATTAGCACGTAAGTGAATGTAATGGATTCGATTGGAATTCGAACTCGACCCTCCGATCCATTACTCCACCGTATACGTCCCAAAATCTGCTAGTAGATTGGTATATTAGTCCCACCCGTTTACTATTGAAATTGCTAAATGCAATGGCCACTTCTACTCCAACAGTTTTTTTTTCTCACCTGTTGAACTTATTTCCGTTTTCTTGCTTCCCTGATAAACTACGGTCTTAAAAAAATTAAATGCAGCATCAATCGCCATTTTCTGACTTTTTGAAATCCCTTTCATTTTTTGGCCTTTCTTCAATCCTCTATATAGTCTGTCTTTTCTCTCACTTTCACTCTATGTAACCCCCCGCCCTGC